AAATAGCCTTTCTTTTTTTCTTTTTTCGAAGTCAGAACTTCGAAATGCCGCGTGAAAAAAAACAAATCGTGATCTCGAACAATAAAGAAAAAAGTATACGAAAGATGAACGAAATATTCCGATTTATATATTTTTTAAAAATATTTTTCCAATATAAATCCGCAAAGATTTCTATTATTGCTACGAGACAAATTCACAAATTTTTATTAACATAATTCTCAAAGAGCGACTCGAAAATTCAAACATCATTGGGAAGGAGAACAAAGGAGGAAGAAAGTTCAAAGGGAATGGTGTGGGCGAGGAACGAAGCGGAGGATCGTAAGATGGACAAAAATGACGAAACACCGGCTTTCGTAGCCTCGTTATTCGTCCAATTAAGAATTTGCATATTAATCGTAGCCTCGTCGGCTTCGGTTGAACGTTGTCGGAATCGTTTCGATTAAACCAACGGACGTACCATGTTTTCAATATACGCGTAAAAATCACTGAAAGATCTCCTTATCTTATTCGTCTTATTCGTAAAAAAGAACGAAAAGAAGAAGGAATTTCAAACAAATCCCTACATGTCTCCTTTACCTTGATTTAATCTCATTTCTCGTTCTTTACGAGGGAACGACAAGGATAAAAGCAGCAACATCGATTAAATCGTCGATTATTAACTTTTAATTTCCAACTTGTTTGCGCTTTTGTTCTTCCATTCTCCGATTACCCACAGAACTTTAAACTTCAGAAAACACTTCCACATCCCTCGATCGCAACAACATTCAACTTGGAAATTTCATCTCTCCTATCTCCAATTTCCAACCTTTAACTTCGACCCACACGATTATTAAACCCAAGTTAACATCAACCCTCCCTCCCTTCGCATTTCCCTAGATCCCAATTCCAATCCTGTTCCCAACCCACTCGCTCATTAATCACAAGTCAGGAGAGAGGCTTTCGATCCAAAGCTCGAAAAGTCGCGCCAATCGACAGAGGATAGGAAGGAGAACAGGAGAAAAGAAATCGACCCTCCCCTCGAATATTCGAGCCGGTTGTAAATTTGCGAAGAAACGGGCTTGGAGAAATGATTAACACGAGGGATAGGTGTAGCAGTATACCGATGTAAATCCTCCAAAACTTACCCCGGTGTGCAGATTGATGAGGGAATGAGGAATTCCGGTTTCCGTCTGGAAAGCGGGCAACATCCGCTCGCCGAGCTGAGCCGCCTTATCCCGGAACATCACGTCCCCCGTGAGAGCGTAACAGGCCAACAAGCTTCCCATGAAACGAATGTTCGTCTCGAAGAGGGATATCTCCGAGTTCTGGAACAGAAAAGAAAAAAGAGAATTAATATGGTGAAAGTGGGGGGATTGATATCGAAGGCTGAGCCAAAGCAAAATTCAAAAGGGTACGTGTATGTACGTTAAAAATTCGTGGAAATATATATATCGATAGTTTCCTCTGCTCGTTCGAATGGGTTATAGAATATCTAAAGAGAGAGTTTCGTACTTTTTTTTTAGAGAATAATTTTGATTCAAAGTATTATGATATGTCTATATGCAGATATATAGAAAAGATGTGATATTCGCACAGTTTGATGCACGTGATTTTACGTATCGTTATAATGATGAATTACGATTCGCGATGTTTATTTCACGTTCATGGCTAAATACGAGGGCAGATTAATGTTTTATAGTAACGTTATTTATATTTCTCGGTTTCGAATGGTCAACAAACCTAATGAAATATTACTGAAGGTATTAGAAAAGGAGGAGAGAGAGAGAGAGCCGAGTTTGGTTTGGCGCACCTGAGTCCGGTTCTATATCCACGCGATGCGACGTGGATTTGTGAAGTTCGGATCTGCTTTTTTTCTCTTTCTCTCTCTCTCTCTCCTGCTCCGTGTATATTTTTCACCCGTTTGTTACGCTAACTTACGTTACGTTGCTGCTCGCATTCCACGTATGCGTTTACCTATTTTCCTCTGCAAATGACGCGTATGCAACGAAGAACGCAATAACTTTTTCTTTTAGCCCCTCGTGATCCCGAGTGAAAAATATTTTGTGTTGTCGCGCAGGTGTAATAAAAATCAGAGATCTCGGGAAAAAAGTTTTCTCGAAATCTTTGTCATTTTTCTTGCAACTTCGAAACTTTCGAAGTTAAAATAAAAGTTTCCTAATGTTATTATTAAATTCGAATTTAAGGAATTTCAATTCCTGGTAAAATGGATTAGATAATTTTGAAATCCTCGCGAAATTTCGAAAAATCTCAGAGACAGAGAAAAGATATGCAAAAATTTAGAAAAATTAAAAGTCACGTTCTCTTCATCTTTGATCGTATCACATAGGAGATCTATTCGATCTATTTTAATAGAAATAAAATCTCCTCCGTGATAGATGATCGTGGAGAGATACATCTGGACGAGAGGTATAGAAATTCTCTCTCGTTGACTGTATTCAACCCGCGAAGATTATTTACAAGCGAAGAAAAGAGAGGAAAAGGGGGAGAGGAAAAAAAAAGTAAAACGAGAATGGTACTTAACTAAAGAGCGTCTGGAAAAGTAATTGCAAGGCGCGCAATTGCCAGCTGAATGGTGGACGGGTGAAGACAAATTATCGAGTATTCGATGTAATTAAACTTAATACTTGAACGTTAAGTATGCCATTAAAGGCGTTGCAAAGAGTGGCATAAGCCGACGAGAAGGAAAATTCCACGTGCGTAATGTATTTGGCATGGTTTCTCATCGTCCCTTTGCGATAAAAGCTTGATCAATTTTTCTCACGATGAAAACATCGAGAAAATAGCGAGCACAACAAATCATTTGTTGGAACAATTTTGCTCGATGCATAAAATATTCAATTCAGACTTGGCCTTTCGAGTCTTTTTTCGATAAAATATAATTGGTCGATTCTTTAGTTATAGTGTGTACACCGTATCTCGAAAAAATATCTTTAAAATATAAAAATGCAACGGATGAAAAGAAAAATTAACGAGAGAGATGAAAGAGAAACAATTGTTTTAAAAGATATAAATGAAACGTAAGTGAACGAGACGTATTAAAAAAATTATGATTAATCGCTTCGACGATGATTTATGATACGACGAAGGAGAGGAAAATTTGTATGATAATTTATGAATTAAATATTATTGAATGTACTCTCTCTCTCTCTTTGTTCGATGTATGTAAATAATTTTAACTATCGTTAATGAAAATTTGATTGAAAATTAGATTAAAGAGAACGATGGGATTAGAAACGAGTTTAAAACGTGCGCTTTTTCCTTTTGATTCATTATGCGAAACGCGTCCGCAATGCAGGGAAAGGCTTATGCGAGGAAGCGTCTCAATTAGAATTACGCTGTTTCCTTACAGCTAAACTTCTAATTAATACTAATTAACATACCTTGGCGAAGAAGAAAACGACGTTACGCTTACCGAATTATAGAATTACAGCGATAGAAAGGGATCTTCGAAAGTTAATTTTCCATTTCGTTTTATCGAAACTTTTGTATTTAATCATTGGAAAGAAAGTATTTGGAAAAAATACAAATAATCTATCGAATCAAATAAACATTCCCAAGATATTTTCTCTCAATGAAATTCGAAAGAGATTTATAAGAATAAACAGGATTTTTTTTTTTTTTTATCAATTCGAAAAAAAATTGCATCAACTTAGAGAAACCAAAACTTCCTTCTCAATTCCCTTAAAAGAACATTCAAAAAATAATCTATCGAATCAAATAAACATTCCCAAGAAATTTTCTCTCAATGAAATTCGAAAGGGATTTATAAGAATAAACAGAATTTTTTTTTTTTTATCAATTCGAAAAAAAATTGCATCAACTTAGAGAAACCAAAACTTCCTTCTCAATTCCCTTAAAAACATTAAAAAAATAAAAAATTATCAACGACGATCTCAAAAACATTTCTTATAATACCGATACAATAATCATTTTCACTTTTATCCAGAATTTTTCTCGCGTCATCGTTGTGATTAATCAACATCAAAGATAATTTCCGATAATTCGTCCAATCCTGGCAAACAATCTCGAACGTTCAAACTGTACAATTTCGTAGCGCGAACGAGTTGGCAAGGAATGCAATTTTAGATGATTCCCGTATAAATGGAGGTGCGATAAACACGCGAGATTTAAAGTTTCGAACAAGTTGCGTATATATATCTTATAGCTTTGTGCCACGAGAAAATTCGGTGATTAAGTTTCTCCGTTTAAGATTATTATTAGTTTGACGCGAGGTTATGAAGTTATTCTCCCAACTGTCTACCGCTTGTTTTGCTCCGCCCTTCTTCTCTTTGCAATCCTCTTTCGATCTACGAGCTCGATCTCTCTTGCTTCGAAGATTATAAATCATTCCTTTCTTCTAATCGCGTTTAATTCGCGATTAGAAATAATTTTTTTAAGGCTAGAATTATTGAGTCAAATTAGATTGGATATCTATGAATTTTCCTGGAATTTTAAGAATATTGGTTTTTTATTCAGAGATAAAAATATAATTGCGTCTAATTATTTTCTCATTTTCGTGTAACTATATGTCGATATTACTTGGAAAAAATTATTGTTACGAAAATAGCGAGAATAATTCCGTTTGTACAGTGTTAAAGAATAACCTTGGCTTTGAAATTTTTCTTTCGAAAATGTATTCGAGAAAGTAGAGAATTTATATTTATTATCTCGATAGATAATTCTCTAGAAAAATTGCGCAAAACTTGAAAGTCCATCAAATACGTTTCAACGATAGAAACAAGTTAAAATGTTCTATGCTGAAATTTATTTATGTTTATTTTGTTTATTTCTCGAATTTATATCTTTGTAACAATTATAACAATCCCGTTCGAATTGAGATGGAATTTGGCAAATATTTACGAGCAAAATATAAACGTTCCTCTCTCAGCTTCTCAGATCAGCTTGGCCAGATCTCGATAGATGTTCGTGTGCGAATGCGATCTCGTTTTCAGCCTGGGGCTACAATCAGCGAGGCATAGGTGTTAATTAACAAGAGCATGAAGATAGCATCGGAAACAGATGAGGGGATAATAATGCGTCGCGTTTACAACAGGTGGATCGTTCCTTTCCTTCTCATTTTCAATGGAAAGAAGAACACGGTTAATTGGCGTTCGCTCCACTTGACATAGTGATAAAAGGTTTGGTTGCCGAGCTAAAAATACTCGCTATTCTATTACACTCGAAACTCGTTCTCATCATTATTCACCCATTATTTGTTCTACGAAGTGAATTAAGATCAGTACACCGATCAATCAGAAAACCGTATTACTTATTATTTTCTTCCCCTCCCTTTTCTTTTCTTTCTTTCTCTTCACATTGAATCACTATCAATCATATCATTTTCTCAGAAATCGAATAAAATTGTTATTCTGCGCGTAAATAAAGTAAGGGGAAAAAATGAATAGAATTTTTCTTTTTTTAAATCCTTGCTTCTTAAGAAACAATTTCCAAATTTCCAAATTTTAAAATATACGAAATCCCCCTCCTAAGAAAACCAATCAAATCTCCAATCCAAGATCGATCCGCTTCCAAAATAATCCAATTCAACGTACGTTTATTATATGGGGATATGAGAATCACTGTGCTCCTCCACAGTTCGAGGCGTCTGAAGTGGCGTGATGCAACGAAATGCGCGTCCGTTGGTCATAAATAGCCGCGGCTGCAATTTGCCGCATCTCGGGCCCGGTCGTGCACCCGACAGGAAAATTGCAAAATACGGCCGGCTCCACCTGTCGTAATCGCGCCAGTTTATCCTAATACGCGAGATGCGCCGCAGACAGAGGTGTGCCATCAACGAGAAAGACGTAATCGGTCTCGTAACGCACTCGTGGCCGATCGTTCCTCGTAATCGGAACATTCAATTCCCGTATACACGCGGCTTCGAACAAATTGACGAGGCTGTCTCTCTTTCTCTCTTTATATATATA